AGGACTTAGTTTTTCGGAAGTTTTCACATAATTGTTCGCATATATAACCATACTCACTAACGTATGCATTTTCAAAACGCAGCGAAACAATTGCGCTGCCTTTCTACATATGTACATACATACATATCTATATATATGCATACACATATTAAGCAAGTGAGCCCAGTAGTAAATTTGGTGGTAATAACCCAACAGCGAGTTTACCATTCCTAAAAAATATATATTGACAAAAACGAACACTCTCGAACCACTTTTAAAAGAATACATATATATTAACACACATATAGAATAAAAATTAAAACCCAGTAGTAAAGTTCACTGGTCACATATATACATACATATAAATACATACAGTCCACAAAAACACCCAATTAACAACAAATTGCGCAACCAAGAGCCTCCTTCACATACTAAAAAATTAAGTATTAAAATGCCAACTGAACAAAGCCCCAAACTTATTTCCAAAATTCCAAGGAAAGCAACTTCCTCGAAAACAGTGGAAAAACTTCAGACTTCTACCGAAGCAAAGAGCTCAGAAAGAGGAAAATCTCATGACCCGTGTGCGCAAAAATTTAACATTGAAAATGATGGCTTCATGAGATATTGTGCCAGACTCACCTCTTCTCCCATAGAGGGATTCACAGAGTCGGCCCTCGAAATAAAAGAAAAAACTATTGACAATCTCTGGGCACGGTTACAAGCCGCATATGACTCACTTTTTTTAAAGGATGATGAAGACCTTCCAGATAATTTTTTGGCGTTGGCGGAAGGCAAGTATCAATTTAGTATTGATACTTATGAAATGACTAAAGCGAAGATCTTAGTTCAACTCAAATTGATCCGAGCTATAAGTCCCCCAAGCTCTCACTCCCGAGAAGCACAGAATTCACACATAGAGGAAAATCCTCACATGCATCTGCATCTCCCGCCATGTGATACCGAGATTTTCCACGGTGGTTATGAAGAATGGCAATCTTTCCGAGATATGTTTACAGCCGTCTACATAAACCACCCCCAATTATCATCCACTCAGAAATTATACCACCTCCGGTATAAAACAAAAGGGTTAGCCGGTCAAATCGTCAAGCAGTTCCCTCTTAGCGACGAGAATTTTGATCTGGCATGGCAAGCATTAAGCGAACGTTATGACAATAAACGCATATTAGTGGATAACCAAATCCAAGTTTTAATGAATCTGCCTAGTGTTCACGAAGAAAATAGTGAACAGATCATTAATCTAAAAGCAAAATAAAAACATGTCTGTCCATTTTAAATGTCCACAAGGTTTTGACAGACAGTTGGGACCCCAACCTCGTACACATTTGCGTATCCAAATTGCCCAGAGAAACCCGGACATTTTGGGAGCAATCACTGCCCTCTAGAAAAGACCTTCCCTCATGGTCTCAAATGGACGAATTCCTAACGTCCAGATTTCAAGTGTTAGAAAGGGTAGAAATGAAATTCCCAAAACACGTAAGCAAGACTTCTGCTCTAACCAAAAAACCCAAAGTAAAATAAAAGCTTTTCATACAAATTCCAATACGGTGTTTTCCTGTTATTTATGCGACACCCCATAAGTTGTGTTCCAACTGCCTTGCTTTCAATCATAGTTTGGCAAAATGCAACTCACAATTTGCATGTGTGTATTGTCAGAAAAGACATAACATGTACACACATCCAGAGGTCATTCTCCAAAGCTGGTATAAAAGAAATTCTTAAGAAATCGATCAACCCCGATCGACAAATAAAAGAAAGCTGTGGTCACATCCAAAAGACCACAGCCCCACAAAATAAAGAGCAAGTGATCCCCTATGATCACCACCCAACCAATACGCAAACTCAAAAAATAATAGCGCAACACAGCATAGCGCACGCGATCACCAAAGATTGCCCCCAAGAGTTATCAAGCTACAAGTCGGATAAGCAACCCACCTGCTCAAACTCCGCGCATGTTAATTCGCTCCGAATTGCCAATGAAAGTGAAGTTCTCCTCCCAACTGCAATAGTGACAATAGAGCATCGAGGAGAACAGTTTCAACTCAGAGCATTGCTTGACCAAGGGTCCCAACGAACCTTTATTTCGTCAGCAGCTCAAAAGAGGTTGAAGCTCCCAACCGAAGTATTTACAATTGGTGGATGTAACTTAAGACGCACTAAGAACGCATGTGCGCTAAATATAACTCCCCGCAAGGCAAAGTGGAAGATAACTACCAAAGCTGTCATACTCAAGCAATTAACGGGGCACTTAGCGACTTCCCACGTAAGTCCTGAATTTATCAAAGAATTCAATGCCCATGAACTAGCTGACCCCCATTTCAGCAAACCAGCACCCATAGATCTGGTCATTGGAAGCGACATACTCCCACAAATTCTCCAACCCGGAGCCCGAAAAATACAAGATAATGTAATAGCGCAAGAAACAATATTTGGTTGGGTGATAAGCGGTTCCGCCGCAAAACTATGAAAATAGAGCGCAATAAATAAGACCTTAACGCCATAAGCTCTAGCCCATGAGCACAAACAAAACGCAAAACTTTAAAACCAAAGAGCAATAAATTAAACCCCTCTCCTTCAAAACCATAAGCACACTACAAAAATACACAAATATTTATATTTATACGCCCAACACCAAGATAAAATGCATATAGAGCACGCCCTCTGCATAATCGTTCGCTTTCTTCCTTTTCAGGACGACATCTCAAGGAAAGGCCATAATTGGAAACGACAGCAACACGAAGCCTAATGTTAGCGCCACATTCTAAAATAATATGATACGCAAATGCATACACGCCAAACCGCCACACACTCAATATTATGGCGTAGAATACACTGCAGACCGCACTATTCAGCACGCCCTTGCAGGGGGGTAGGGGGGGGGGGGCAGTGTACAATCAACCGATTGTAATGAAGGAGCACCCTAACATCTTCTCTGCTTTTCAACTTTCTTGGTACTGCAAAAAGAAAGTGGAGAAAAGTAAAACATTCCAAATTCAACAGTCAACGCGCGCACACAGGAAAACGGCCACCACAGAATCATATCCCGGACGTAATTAACCTATATATGTACTTAACCATAATTTAATTGTCAAATAAAACATTTATAACGTTTTAACCAGAACGCGAGTGCTTTCACTTACTTAAAACGAACGCGAAGAACCTCTTCGCGTTGCCATAATTATTGTTACATTCCAACTCATTCATATGCAAATGCACTTGAAATAACTTTACAAAACTAAAACGAATAAAATTCAAAACTGAAGAACCGCCATAATAAATTTTTCACTGTACTGCACCTCGTACCTTGAGTCACTGCACTGGCTTACTATATTTTTTTGAACCTACAAATACTGAAATTGTACAGTTAATAATAAAAGCTTCTCCACATAATTTTTTTAGCTCACTTTGACGATCAGATTTTTTGAAACATAAAAACATTCACACACGAATTTTCTGACCACTTTCAACGAAGTTTCTATTTCAACTTGTTTTCGTTACAAAGTTATACGTACGGTCGAAGTGGCGAGTACATTTTTGAAAAGAACGAATATCACCTACTAAGATTACATTTAAGTAGAATTTAAATATTAAAATATGTAACGCATATCATAGTTTTATCAAAGACCGCATTAGAGGGTTACGAAGGTTTTAGTTTGCAAACAATTTTGAAAAGGGTTGACACCTGTATTAAAAATGAAAGATATGGATATGATTTCTTTAAATATGACTCTCAAACGAAGGAGTTTTATGTAAGCTTTAGTTTGAAACAACTTGTTATTAGGGTTGCCACCCATTCAGAAAATCATTACTATGAATGTATGCATACAGTGGTCGAAAAAATTATTGCCACACCACATATTTACAAGTTTTAACATGTTATTTTTGTGTTATTTAATTTGTTTTTTTGTTTTTATAAAAATATAGTTAATTTCTTAACAAAAGTCGTGAAAATCCAAGTTTTGAACTTTGTGCAATATTTAAAGAATAATTTCAACAAACTTTCGTAAAAATGTCTATCTTATTAATTTTGATTTCTTAGCGATATTTGGAGTATGCAGATTTTTAGCTCATTGAATTGGTGGAGAATACAGAAAGTAAACGGTGACATTAAGCATCATTTCATTCGGGATCATGTTGCAAATGGAAAGAGAAAATAAGAATACATTAACACGCAGAATAAAGTCGTTGACGTATTATACTTGGGTATTTTAATGAATTGCCTAAGAAACGAATAACCAAGGAAAGATTTAACCAGATTCTTCCCAGAAAGGACAAGATAGGTATGTCAATGACCCCCTTTAACAATATTTATGTGATCATACCTCAATTAGCCAACAGCGAGGACTTTTGCGTTCTCACAATCCAAATCTACATATATCTGGCCAAGGACCGTCGCTCCAGTTGATTCCCTGCAAAAGTACTTTTGAGGCATCGCGAATCACGCCGGACATTTGCTAGTATTAAACAATATACCCGCCATACCCGAGTGTTAGATTTGCGTATTACCACTCGGTAGAACTTAGAATTACCTACCGCCTGTTGGAGGCGGCGATAAAATATAAGAATAAAATTTAAAGAAAAGTTATATAAAAAAGCTATACTTTTTGACATTGTCAGGGTTGAACCTACGTTCTGCTGTGTCGTAGGACATAGCTCTAGCCCCTCGGTTACGGTGGCTGCTAATGTTGTTAGTTTCGTTTATTGTCTATTCACAATAGAAAATTATTGCTGAAATTCGGTAGTATAGATATAAGAATGAAATTGTAAAAAAAAAAGTTATATAAGAAAGCTATACTTTTTGACATTGCCAGGGTTGAACCTACGTCCTGTTGAGTCGTAGGACATAGCTCTAACCCCTCGGCTACGGTGGCTGCTAACGTTGTTAGTTTCGTTTATTCTTAATCCACAATAGAAAACGAATGCTGAAATTCGGTATTGTGGTCAATTAAAATACTAAAAAAGAATTTGAAAAGAGCGGCATTCTTCAATAATAGTGGACTTACCCATTGGTTTGATAGCCGTCATATTTTGATTTACCAAATGCAAGGGCCATTTCATTGGCACCAATGTGTTTCGAGAAGATTGCATTGATTGCTGTTGAGCAGCTTGAGCTGTAGATTGTGTAGGCAACTGATTATTGACGACACTCATTTGCTGATGTTGCTGTGAGGAATTAGTACCACCAAGTATCATTCGTGGGTGTGTGGTAATCGGTTGCTGTTGTTGCATCTGCTGCGTAGTTTGACAATTTATAAAACTATTTTGTGCTAGACATTTATTTTGCTGTTGTAATACAGTATTGACCGTACTGTGAGTTGTTGTTGTGTTTGCATTATCTTTTTCGGCAGTCATCTTGCGAAGAACTGATGTCGGCGTGAATGCCAACGGCGTCGGCGAGTGAATATGCCGTGATTGTTGATGCTGTTGTTGCATAGCATGCGAAATATGAGTATGTTGCTGTGTGCCCGCTATTTGTTGCTGTTGCATGCTATTAGAGTTTGGAACTTGTTGCACATTCTTTTGTGGTATATCCAGTTCATTTAATACGGACAACATATTTGGCTGCGGTTGCTTCTGAATTTCTGGACGCCTCCTTAGCGAATCTTGTTGCTGCTGCTGCTGCTGCTGCTGTTCCTCAATTTTCTTTTTCAGCATGGCATTCTGCATTATTGTTTGCGTGTGAAATTGCAATTCTCGTTGGCTCGGCATAACTTGAGGGTTTAACGGTAGTTGATGTGAAGGTAAAAGCGAAATACGCTCGGTTTGACCACAAAGAATAACATTAGAAGTTGAAATTTGCTGTGAAAGCTGATGTTGCAATGGTTCGGTTGATGAATTTGTTAGAGCTTGATTGGAAATGGGTGTGCCGTTACTGCTACATAGTTGCAATGGAGAATGATCCGGCTGTGTTCCAATAGGCCCTGGTATTGCATGGTTTTGTGGGGCATTAGAAATGGAAACCACTCCGGTATTCATTTCACGCAAAACTGCAGCAATTACTTCTTTTGCATGTGGTGATGCATTTGGATTGTTCAGTTCTTGCTCCAAGAAATGAATTGACACTTCGCCACGCGTTATGCACTGATAGAGATGCCTTGCCTCCGCATGCTTCTGAGGTTGATTCCCGAACAGAATGGATAAAGTCGAGAGTTGTGGTTGCGATACATTGCTCATATCTCCATTGTTTTGGTTATGTTGGTGAAAAGCTGATTGTGGGTGCATTATTTTTTTTAACTCATCATTCTTAATAACCATATGCTGTGCCATCACAGTACCGGGCTGTATTATATTCACCGTAGGTAGCGGACTGGTATGGTTTTGGGGCGGAAGCAACACATTCAGTTGCAAATTGGTTGGTAATAAATGCTGCTGAGGCTGTGCATGGTGTTTGTTTCCAGATCCAAGTTGTTCTAATAACTTTTTGAAAGCTTCTATCTCTCCTGCTTGAGGTTGCCCGGCAATGCATTGCTCGTTTGGGATAGGAAGAATTATGTCACGTGGCCTCCCTTGTGGCTTATTGATTGGGGTTTCATTGCGTGTAACTGTAGGATCAGTAGAAATTCCGTTACCGGAATTCGTTCCACGCATACGCGCCTCCAGTTCTTCTACGCTGGTTATGGTAGTTACTGTGTAAATTAAATCATTGAATAAGTAGGAAATAATACGAATATATATATATGTACATAGGAATATAGGTCGTGGAATCTGAATTGATACATATAGAAAAGAATATAAAAACGAAGTTTAGTTTTCTGTCCACTTTCGTATATATTTATGATTAATCTTGCAATTAAACATTACGGCTGCCAGCCAGTGCTCAGACTTCTACCACATTGTGGTAGATCTACCACTTGTTTAAGCGTTTTGAGTAGTTTTATTTTTCTCCGTTATAATTTTCTTTATTTTTAATTCTTTTATAAAAAAAAAAAATATATAGATTAACATTAAACAAACAGAAGAAAAAGTCAGTCAAAACTTGACAAAATATTGCGACCATATTAGTTTGTCCGACACTTCCCAGTAGATAATTTCAGCAGTTAAAATCCCCTCCGGAAAGCCTTCCTGAGAGTCAAAAGGCCTTCCACGCTACATTCGTTTCTCCTTTCTTTTTTGTATGGAGTGGCACAACTTGAAGGGCTTCTTCTTGCGCTACCCATGGAAAGGCCTTTTGGAGGAGTTCTTTTAAAGTTGCTTCTTTAATTTATAAAAATCATACATCTTTGAAGTATTTTCTTAAGGTTTATATCAAATATGTGTTATTGCAACATAAAATGTTTATTGAACCTTATTGGTAATGCTAAATAATATAAATTATGCATTCGCGTAAATTGCAAATGGATAAGCCCTTCTAGAAGGCATGCAAGGAAGCACTTTTTTCAGCGCTTCTTGGGTAGGCCTCTTAGAATGGCTTTACTTACGAAGGCCTACCTAAATTATCTTCTGGGTTTAAGTACTCATATATTTTCGGTTTCGTAATATGTACTTATAAAATGAAATGATAAACTATCTTAAAAATGAAATCTATCATATTTTTTCCAGATTCTACTACAGGTGTCTTTTAAATCGCAACACTGATGTCAGCTATATCAATTTACTAAAAATAAATAACTAATTTGAGAATAACGAAACGAAAAATTTAAATCTTTATCTAAGTTTGCAACAGCTTGTGAAAAAATATTACAGTGTCGATGCTCCAAACTGGTGTAAAATTGGTTTATAAATTCCATGCTCTTCTGTCAGAAAGCACCAACAATAGGGCGCGGAATTTGTGGCACTAAAAGAATTAAAAAAAGCCAAAATAAAACTAACAAAATGGCAAAAATAAGCAAAAAGGCCGATAAAATAAAAAAGTTATTAAATAGTTCTTTGAGTTCAGATGTTCGATTCATTGAAATTTGCACTTTATACGACTATTCGCTTGTATTGAATGCATTTAACGGTTGGGGAGGCAATGGAATATATGGTAACTTTTGCTTAAAAAATGCGATACGCTATGCACTTTTCAAAAAAAACTTTTTCAGGTTTGAGATTAATGCATCTATTACCTCATTCATATGATGCTTTAATTCGTTCTAAGTCGAACCATGTTATTTGGACACGCACATGTAAACACATTCTTATTTCGAATTGAAACTTTTAACCGTGCCACCATAAATCACACTTTGAATGCGAGTTAAGAGTTATTGAATCGTATTAAGCGTGCATATAAACACGGGATTAGTCTACGCGGTTGTTTGATGCAACTCTGTATGAAGTAAAACATTTATTAGTTCTAGAAATTACATTTACGCTAAGCTTTACTACAAAATTAATAGCTAAAATAACTTTTTTGTTGTTTTTTGAGTTTTTAATTATTATTTTTGAGTGTTTATTAACTTCAAGAATTGTCACATGTATTAACAGGGTTGCATCGGGATGAAAGCAGTTTGAAAGTATGTTCGACTGACTCATTTCTTTTGTTGAATATAAACACTTGCAGTTCAAGCGAACTACACTGACACGAGTTTACTTGACACCATGTTTGATGCCATATAAACAAGGTATATATTTGAATGTTGGGCTCCTATATACCTTGTTTATACCAACACATAAAGCGCTTTGACCCAGTTCGATACTTTCAGAAATTCAAAAGTGTATTGACTCGAATTTGTTTTCAAACCGCTTTTTTGTTTCTCACATCGGTTAGAAAACAGGTATAAACACATCACTCATTTGACGCGAAGTGAAAAAAGGCTGGTTTTCTTTATACATCCCGTTTTAAATTTGAATTATTATTATAACAAATTTTAATTGTTGTTCGCTTCCATTTCGGTCCACCGCGCAAATTAATTATTTAAGAAATACCGAATAAAAATAACAAATTTTTTTTACTTTTCAATACGGTTTCAGCGAGTGCGTCTTAACAACACAGGTGTAAATACTTGAAAGGAATATGTGTTCAGTCAAATTAGCCTTTTGTTAATGCGGTTCTTGCGTACGTATAAACAAGGTAATAGATTCGCACACTATGAGCAGCGCAAGTTTTATGGATCATGTTGGAGTAAAGCACGGCTAACGTAGATCCACATTTCTTCATAGAAGTTGCTACAGCAGATGCAGTTACGTGTTCCAAAATTTCTTCGGTCAAAAGATAACGACGACCAACAATACCATTGGCGACATGACGGCCAGCTTTGTCAGTCGTTTCATGAATAGAGACAAAGATAGGATTTTCCCCAATTTCACACCTGATTTTTCGGACAACACCTTCGTGGCACCTTTGAACATATGTAGCCTATTCTTAGTGTTGATTCATTTGAAAGTTGCTTTTTAGGTGTTTCGCACAAAAACTTTTGAATTCGGGACGTTTAATCTTGCTCAACGGTATATCACTTGCAAGCATCATTTTCACTAAGTCGCTATTAAACTCGTTTTTTTCCTCACAACGCGATGTTATTAATTGTGATTGGTTTTTTAGTGCCGACGTTATTTTGTATTTTTCGCAATTTATATGCTGCTGCACGAAATATTTTTTCCCATGGTTCACTTTAATTCTACACGCCGTACAAAATAGAAACTGTCCATCTGATCTAAAAACCTCTTTGCCGAATTCATTAATCAAACACCGAACTTTATTTACGTTTGGCTTTTGGTATCTTTTTAAAATTGAAATATTTCGCTTCGAGAAGCTGCTTTCCAGTATAGTTTTCTTTGCAATTAGCGATAAGCGTTTGACATTCATCGGTAAATTATTATTTTTTTTTAAACTCACTTCATAATGGATACCAGTAGCTCGTTTCTGTAACTCCTCTCTACCGATTGTTTCTCTACTGGTAGAGAATATACGTCTTTCTCTACTACTCATTAGCAGTAGAAAACAAGGCGGCAAATTCATATATGAATTCGCCTTGGTAGAGAATTGTTGCAGAAACGAGCTACAGATCGGCAAAAAGGCATATGAAAATGTTAAGAAAGACCAATAAGACTTTGCTCGCTTAAAAAGCGCAATAAAATCTAAAAACAATGAAATGGCAGTAAAAACAAAAACAAAGCAATTACGGCTAAAAAGGATAAAAAAAAGGCAATAACAAATGTAGCTCTAATAAAAAAGGAGGCTTAAAACACATAAATATTTGGATCATTTTATTCAAAGTTGAAAGGCAAAAAAGGCAAATGCCACAAAATCCGCGCCCTTACCATCACACACAACGTGACATTGCAGAAAAAAGCGGAACACAACTAGTATAACAACCGTTTAGATATGAAAAATAAATAATATAAAAAAAAACTTTTTAACATACAACGCTTTTATAAATGGACTAAAAAGTAGAAAATAATATTTCTCAGTCCCATAGAATTTGTTTTGATAACTTTTGATTTTGAAATTTTAGCAAAAGTCATTATAAACAATCTATGAAATTGAAAATTGAAAGTTATCAAAACAAATTCTATGGGACTGAGAAATATTATTTTCTACTTTTTAGTCCATTTATAAAAGCGTTGTATATTAAAAAGTTTTTTTTATATTATTTATTTTCTACTTTTTAGTCCTGTCTGAATAAAATTTTGCAATAGATATTAAAATAATTCAACGATATTAATAGAAAGGTGCACACACATGCATTTACATATGTATGTACATACAAACGAGCACCAATTAATTTTATTTAAAGAAATGGCGTGTCGTCTATTTCCGCTGTAGCAAACGTAGTACATAGGGCGACATCTAGATGTCATCTACCTCGCCCTATTCACTACAGCTGTCGCCCTATGCACTATGCTTTTTTATAGGAACTTTTCAAAGCTTTGCTTTGGTGTCGGACACACAACATTGAAAGTTTCTGGATCCACAACATTGAAAGTTTCTGGACGCACAACATTGCAAGTTGATAAAAGCGTTGTAAAAACCAAAAATCCAGATCAATGGGGCAAGTATAAAATAAAGCAGACATGAGAGATTAAAGTTTCGGTTTTCTATTTTTTGTGTGTATAATATCTCGGAAACTAGTTATCCGATTAGAAAAGTATTGATGCCAATTTAAAGATACTTTTAATACACGACGTATTAAACAAACACCATTTAGAAAATACTTTGTCAAGGATATATAACAATTCTTGTAGGGTATGCGTAAGGCACTCGGCACATTAAGCGCCTAGTCATAGTAGTGTAATCGTTCCGGCATACTAAAGTACGAAGTTTTATACCGAACACATGTATTTCAATGAAGCTCTTACACTACGATTCATAATCATGTTTTCACCTAATCATAAAAGCTTCATGAGTCGAAGCGCCTAACATTGTAAGGCGCTTACCGTTTTGAAATCGTCATTTGTTTACTTTTTGTATTGGAAATGAAAATTATTTGTGAAGGCGCTTGAGGATGGTTCCGTGCGCAGAAGTGGAAAACTTTTGACTGCCATTCACCTGGGAGTGGCCAGAAGCGATTCTTGTGCGTACGGTTCAAATCGCAGCTCACAACGTCCGGATATTTATATCCACGTATCCTCTGGGTAGCAACCAAACACCCGTTTGGGAGCGAGCTAAAGTGAGAAGGCGTAAAACTTCGCGTGCGCTGGGTTTGGGTCCCGCCACGTTAAAACCCCGCCCAATGAAAATTCATTGTCCATGCTTCCGCGCCATACACCA